AGCCTGTAGCATTGCATGGGGTTGTTGTGACCCAAGTGCAGGACCCGGCACTGAGCTTTGTTGAATCTCATACAGTTGGCCCCGGCCCAATGATCCAGCCTGTCCAGGTCCCTCTGTAGGGCCTTCCTACCCTCCAGCAGATTGACACTTCCACCCAACGTGGTGTCATCTGCAAACTTACTGGGGGTGCACTCAATCCCCTCATCCAGATCTTCAATGAAGATATTGAACAGGACCAGCCCCAACACTGAGCCCTGGGGAACACCGCTCGTGACTGGCCACCAACTGGATTGAACTCCATTCACCACCAGTCTCTGGGCTCGGCCGTCCAGCCAATTTTTAACCCAGCGTAGAGTGCACCCATCCAAGCCGTGTGCAGCCATGTTCTCCAGGAGAATGCTGTGGGAGACAGTGTCAAAGGCTTTACTAAAGTAGACAACGTCCACAGCCTTCCCCTCATCCACTAAGCGGGTCACCTTGTCATAGAAGGAGATCAGGTTAGTCAAGCAGGACCTGTCTTTCATAAACCCATGCTGACTGGGCCTGATCCCTCGGTTGTCCTGCACTTGCTACATAATGGCACTCAAGATGATCTGCTCCATGAAGAATGGGGAATGGAACAGTGGCCCATTTAGTTTTACTTAAATGACTTTGCTAGTTGCTAGGGCACTAGGAAAGTATACTACAATAAAACTTTTGGGTAGGATTGATATGGCCAAATGACATTAGACAACTATGCTAATCATTTATGCTACCTTTATAATAAATGAAAATTCATTAAGGGCTTTTAAAGCATGATTCATCTCATCTCAGAGACATCTGAAAGAGATGAGATGAATCACACTCTTGGTTTCTGAAAGGTTGGGGGCTGGATGTGGGAAGAGGTGGGTGGGAAGATCAGTGCTATAAAAGTTCACAACCTGAGTTAGAGTCTCACCTCCATTTAGACTGAAGGTTTTTGTTTTGTTTTAAGACCTCAGAAAGGTTTGTGCAAGCCTAGTGTGGATCCCTCTTGTCACTAGCTACATCAGGTTAGTCTCATATCAGATTCTTACTCTATTTTAAAAACATAGAATCATTCAAACATCTGGGAACACAGGGAGCAAGATATGTTTTCTATACTTGGTCTTTTTCATTGCTCCATTGAATTAAAAAAAAATGAAAATAAAATAGCATATTTAATTCCATAACGTTTTTCTTATTGACTCCTGTGGTTAGGAAATCATTGCCATCAGAACATAGAAGATCAGGAGTCACTGTGAAGTATGCCTTCCCTCTCACTTCTTATTTTCATAGAATCATAGAATCGTCAAGGTTGGAAAAGACCCTTAAGATCATCGAGTCCAACCGTCAACCTATCACTGCCAAGTCCATCTATACCATGTCCTCAAGCACCACAT